ACACACACCCAGGTGTGAGACCTGCTGCTTAATATCCATGCAGCACACACCAATTCACCGCAACACACTAATTCACGAGCCAGGGAAACGTGTATAGCCAGACAGGCTGCCACTGCTGGAAACCCGTTGTGTGTGTATACACACACACACACACACACACACACACACGTGTGCGGGCTAGACTCTTGAACTCAGCACTGCGGGGAGTGGGATACAGCATCATCGAAAGTTCCCGGGAACTGCCAACAGGATGCGCAGCCCGGCTGGGGAGCGGGCTTCACCACCTAGACCCCCATGGCTCTAGGTGCCAGCTCTGCCGCTGGCCCATGGGTGAGCCTGTTTCCTCTCGCCCTCCCGAAACCAGCCGTCAGACTTGTCAGAGCGGCTCTTGCTGACAGAGAAACAGCAATTCTGAAGCTTCCCCCAAAGCGGCGTTTCCGGACGCGCTCCGCCCCAGCACTGCGAGCAGATGAGGATGAGTCAGAGGGAGCGGGGTGGGGGGAGCCAGCCCCTCCGTGGAAGCACGCTCGTGGCGGTGTAGAACCACACCGACTCTGCCCCCCCACCCCCGGCTTGTTTTTTCAGGAAAGAGATGCAGAGAGCTGAGAGTCCGTGGGTCCTTCTCAAAGCCTTTTAACAAGCCGGGACACTCCCAGCCACTCTGGGTGTGCACCCTGGCTCTGCAGCTCACCAGCTGTGCGACCTGGGGCTCCTCATTCCACCTCGAGTCTGCAAAAGGCGGGCTAGCACAAGACCACTGGAGACACGGTGGTGAGGGCTCACAGAGAGCAGACCCATACAGAGCACCTAGACCAGCGGTTCTCAACCTGTGGGTCACAACCCCCTTGGGGGTCGAACGACCCTTTCACAGGGGTTGCCTGATTCATAACAGTAGCAACATTAGAGTGATAAAGTTGCAACGAAGATGATTTGATGGTTGGGGGGTCACCACCACATCAGGAACTGTATGAAAGGGTCGTGGCATTAGGAAGGTTGAGAGCCAGTGACCTGGACCGTGCCCCACACACTCTGACCGGTAGGCGACCACCGTGTACGTGCCGCAGAGCCCATCCTGGCATGTGAAGCCTGATTGCTTACGACAAGGAGTCTCTCCATTGGGACCCGGTCCATGGCCAAGTCTGTCTGTAAATCAGATCAGAACAAGTACAGTTCTCATGTAGTGTCAGCTGGCCAACTGTCTTTGTCTTATACAGTGCGCCTTTCTTTCTGCGTGTAAAGAACATTAAAGAAACACTTCCGGACACTCGGAAACCTCTCTCACGTGACAATACGGAAGGGTCATAGCGTTGCCATGGGCGCTGAGATAGCTCACCCGTCTGCTGTTTACAACCATTGCATGCACCTCTGCTGGAACAAAGGTTAAGGGTCACAGTCGACGCTCGCAGTCAAGGAATCAAAAGATGCATTGCACTGAGCCCGTGTGCCGACCAGACCTCTTTAAAGTGCTGAAAAGCCAGGACCCACGCCACGGTGCTTCCAATTGCCTCCTCCGCATGTGACCACTGGGGGATGCCTAAGGACCACCCAAGAAGAACCGATGCGTTCGGACCGTGGTGATGATGGAGAAGAATGAATGGACCACGGGCAAGCAGATCCACCTTGGGAGAAACACAGTCAGACTGCTCCTTGGGAGTCAGGAGGGTGAGACGCTGTCTCATGGACTGGACTGTGGGCATGCCATCAGGAGGGACCAGTCCCTGGGAACGGACGGCATGCTTGGGAAAGCAGAGGGTCATGGAAAAGAGGAAGACCCTCAACAAGGTGGACAGACGCAGGGAGTGCCAACAACGGGCTCAAAGACAGCAGCGGTCATAAGGGTGGTGCAGGACGGGGCAGTGCTCCCTTCCGTTGGGCGCAGGTCTGCTGCGGGTTCGGAGAGCCCCTACCGACCATGGCCACCCGCTTCAGGGGGCGTGGCTCGTGACTCCAGGCCGCATGCGGTCCGAGGTGCATAACCCGGACGGACGCTGCCTGTATTGTTAGTCATGCCACAGAGCAGGTGCCTCTGGGATTCCAGGAGCTGTGACAGATCACAGCTGGCGGGTGCACTGGACCGGGCTGCTCACAAAATGAATGGAGGGTCATGTCCATCAAATGAGAAAGGCAGGTCTGGGACTCTACCTCCCAAACATCAGCCGCCGCAAACCCCAAGCGGAACCGTTCTCCCTGCTACGGGGGCTGCACACCTGAACTGCCCTTACGGGAACTGGTTTGACCCCTTGGCGGTGGATTCTAGCCCCAGTGGTGCAGTGGGTTATACTCTGGGCTAACAGCCCTAGGGTTAACGGTTTGAAACCGCCATCCGCTCTGAGGCAGAATGCAGAGGCTTTCCATTCCTCAGCTCAGAACCCACAGGGGCAGTCCGACCCAGTGCTAGAGGGCAGCTAGGGGTCGGAATGACTTGGTGGCGACGAGGGTGGTTTGGTTTGGTCCAGTTTCCTTGGCTCCAGGGCTCGTCTGTAGGGAAGGGCTTCTGGGCCCAGTCCTGCCCTCCGACCTGTGCTGCCCCATGGTGGTGGCCGGGGCCCCTCACCTCCAGCATGTTGTAGCGCGAATTGTCGCAGTAGTCGCGGACGCCAATCTCGGTGCCCATGTACCAGCCGCTGAAGGGGCAGGCGCTGAACTCCAAGCCACCTATCTCCAGGAGCATGTTGGACACGGCGGGGACGCCGTACCACTTCAGGCCCAGGTCTCTGAACCATTCGAACCTGCAGAGGGCAACACAGCCCGCCGGGCCTTCATTTAAGATGTTGGCATTTTGCTCGCCATGCATGTTTTCCTTACACTGATTAGGAGGAATCCCCTCTTTTGTGTGTGAAATACTTCTTTAAATCTGTCATGGAGGTTTTGGAGGGCCCTGAAGGTATGTGCACACAGCCAGCACACCCCACTGCCAGTGTCCGTGGCTCTCCCAGGCTAAGGCCACAGCTCTCCCACCTCTGGGTGCACACCTGAGCCCCTTTCCTCTGCTCCCCCCCACCCTCAGGGCTGGAAAAGTCAGGGACTAGAGGATTGCTTAAGAGTCAGAGAGATGGGCCCCCCAGGCTGGTCCATGCAGACTGACCCACCCAGGCCCTGCAATGATGAGCCCAGATTCCTTTTGACTTTTGGGGTGGGGAGAGTGGCACGGGCCCCAGGGCGGGCCAGGCCAGTCCCCCCAGTGTCCCCAGCCCTCTTACTTGGGGTGTCTGATGGGCACCTCCAGCACCAGCTCTGGAGGGATCTGGAAGAGCTCAGGGTCATTGCCGTTGGCCTGGAGCATGAGGGGCAGGATGTCGAAGCGGCCTCTCGGGGGCTTCCAGCCCTGCTGAATGCAGATCTGCAAAGAGACCCCCAGGTCAGCAGGCCCCCCACCCCACCCCGAAACACGACTGTGTGTGTGTGTGTGTGTGTGTGTGTGTGTGTGTGTGTGAGACTGGGTGGAGGCCCCACATCACCACGGAGCTCATGCAGCACCTCGAGGTCCAACCAGGCAGGCTGCCGACGTGCCCAGCTGCACCGCATTCTACATGCTCCGGGCCTTTCTCGGTCCGGGGGACTCCTGAGAGCTGGGGCTGCACTCAGGCCAGAGGGCATCTGCAGAGTCTGATGAGAATTAGTGATGGGCATTTGATTCAAGCGGGGTGGCCCGGTGGAAACATAAGATGAGCCAGATGTGGGATGTACCCGTTTCTAGCAGCAAAAGTGAGGAGCAACAGGGAAAAGGAATTTAACCATGTGTGTGATGCTGATTTAGCACCAATACATTGTTAAAGTAGCACCGCGAATAGATTTAAGATAGAGTTAGCTTGATATTAAATGTATACTTATTAACCTGATAAATAGACACCACAGGGGTACGGTAGTAAAAGTACCGGGCGACTGACTGAAGAGCCAGCAGTTCAAACCCTCCAGCTACTCAGCAGGAGGAAGATGAGGCGGCTTCTGCAGAGACTGCAGCCTTGGGGACCCCTCGAGGTCAAATTCTCAACAGCAGGAATTGAGTCAACCACAGGGGCTTTTGGTTTGGAACCTAATACATACTTGTTGTTGACTAGGTATGGCATATAACATGTGCTAGCATGTTAGCATACTAACATCGTATTGTACAATGTGAATAATATAGCCTGCTAGTAGTTCTGAAATAACACCATGTAGTCACAATATATTCAATATGTGTAATTGATTAAGCACATCCTATTAGCCATACCTTATTCATTATAGCACATAAAATATGAATCAAATACAAAGGAACGTTATTTAAGTGCATTAATTACTCATAAAAGAAATAGTAAGATATGTTTTTAAACATTAAACTTGTACCGTATTAATAGACCCACTAAATGGATTGATTTACGGGAGCACTGGTGGCACAGCGACTGAAGTGCTCAGCTGCTCATTGCAAGGTTGGCAGTTCAAGCCCACCAGGTGCTCCACAGGAGAAAGATGAGGCAGGATAGCCTGGAAACCCGACGGGGCAGTTTGACTTTATCCTACAGGGTTTTTATGAGTTGGAATCAACTGGCTGACAATGTGTTTTATAATATGTTACCCAATCTAGCCTCAAAACAGAACTCACTGCTACCGGGGCAATTCTGACTCACAGCAACCTTTAGGACAGGGTAGAACTGCCCTGTGGGTTTGTAAGACTCAGTCATCACAGGGCAGAAAGCTTCCATCCTTTGCCTGTGGAGTGGCTAGCAGTTTCAGACTGCTGACCTTGTGATTAGCAGCCTAAAGCATAACCCACCAGGACGCCTATCTAGTCAGAGCGGTATCACTGGAACACACACACAGCCGGTATACAGTCCTTGCAGGGAGGTATCTCACATCCTCCTTTGGGTACTAGGTCTTGAGATCTGATGGTACTTGGCATTTATCATGCGTTGCCACCTGGGCGCCCATTTCAAAGGCTGGCTAGGCACCTGTGGTGGACAGCTCCGTGCTGGAGCGTGCAGGTCCAGAGGCCTATAAACGGTATAATGAGGTGGCACTGTCTGTTGTAGGCATTAAATCTCGGGATTTGGAGAACATCTTAGCTATCAAGGTTTCTGGAGCCAGGGCAGGCGGCAAGGGCTGCAGCCTTTCTGTTTGGTGCCGGGAGGGCAAGGTCAGCCAAGTACACAGTGAGCGCTCGGCCAAGTGGAACAGGGAGTCTGGCCGAGTCTACTAGAGCACAGGTGCGGCTCCTGGTTGCCCTGGTTACAGCCCCTCCTCGGGATGAGAACATCCCACTAGAAAAGCTACACGCAGATGAAGCCAAGTGCAGGAGGGAGGAGCCGCTCCTGGCCTGGCCACTTCTCTTGGAGGAGGAGGTCCAGAAGGCACCGACTCTAGGACAAAGATAGGGCTGAGTGGGTTGCCCAGCCCAGTAGGTTACCCAGGTCGTTCTGGGCACAGGTCTCCTGTGGGCAGGCAGTGGAAGCGATTCCCACCGAATCCTGCTAAGAAGGAACGCCGGGTGGGGAAATGGTGATGTCCGAGGTCCTGGCGGTTTCTGTCAACTGTCGAGAGCCCTGGTGGGGGAGTGGGTTTTGCACTGGGCTGCTAACCACAAGGTCAGCACTTCAAACCTCCCACCTGCTTCTTGGAAGAAAGAAGAGGCTTTCAGCTCCTGTAAAGATCGATTGCTTTGGAAAACCCAAAGAGGCAATTCTACTCTGTCCTGTAGGGTTGGCTGCGAGCTGGAACTGACTCGATGGCAGTGGGTTGTGGGGTGTGTAGCAGTAGCAGCATTAACAAAGGAGATTCAAGCCCACTGAAGGAGGAGTTGGGTGAGGGAAAAGATCCACCTGCGGGTTCTGTGACAGCTGGGCATGTGGTCATGCTGGAGCCATTCTCCGGAGTGTGTGTGACACACACGGGTAAAGGAATAAACGCCAGGGCCGTGAGTCCGACTTGTTCCTCAACTCAGAACGGGTGGATGTCACACACGGTTTCCATGGAGTGGGCCGGAGGAGGGGGCTCTGTCTCGGCTGGGAGCCAGTGGGCTTGGACAGTTGTCTTAGCTTGCCCTGTGTTCACTCAGTCACCTTGGCTAGCTCACCTGTGGGACTCAGTCTACCCATCTGTGTCCTGCGGCCATAAGAGGCGCTCCAACCTCAATGGCACGAGGATGACCAAAGAAAGGACCAGCTGTCAGCGAGCCCACAGGGCGCTGCATGTGGAGAAGACCCCAGGGCTCCTGCCGGCTGCCTGCCCTTCCACCCCATCAAAACGAAAACCCAGAGAAGCTGTGGCTGAAGGTGGGGGGTGGGGGTGGCGTGGGGGCACCGCGCTCACACCTCTGTGAACTCCACGTTGGCTGGGTCCCCCAGGATGGAGCCGTCGGGCTGCTTGTAGCCTGCGTAGCGGATGAGCTGTGTGTTCCAGACTCTGAAGTCGTGCTTGCCGTCGGTCCTCTGGGGAAATATGGTGATGGCAGACCTGTGGCGGAGACAGAGGGACACCTGGGGTCAGGGAGGGGCTTGCACTTTGAGGACACCCTGGAGGCACTGGGTGGACGGCATGTGGGCGGAGGTCAGCAGGGCCGGCTGGAAGAGCCGCTGTCGGGAGGGTGTGCCCTCCCCCGGAATTCCTGCTCTATGGCAGGGGGTGGGGGTGAGACGCCCCATGCCAGCTTCCCAGAGGAAGACAATGTTTCCTAGTGGGAGACTTAAACAATATCACGGCGGGCCGGTCTTCCGGGGAGTTCCTTTGCAGAAGGTAATCGCCAGGGCCCAGTGCTTGGTCCGGCTTCCCTTTCTGAATGCTCTATTGACGGCCAGTTCCGGACCGGCTCCTGCCACCATCGTTCATGCCTGTGTGGTTTCGCCCCCAGCTGGACTACCCCGGACTTTCAGACTTCGAATTCCAAACTTCCCTAGCAAAGGCCCAACATCTTCCTTTACAGAAATAGAAAACCAGTCCTTGCAGTTGTGTTGGAGGGGGAGGGACCGTGAATAGCGGAGGCAATCTTGAGGAGGAAGAAGAAGAAAGGAAGAAAATTCAAACTTCCTGATTCCAAAGCGCAACTCCCAAAATAATTGTGGAAAGCCGCAGAAATCAAGCTGCCTGCTTGGTGCCGCTGCCTGTTGCCACACGGTGACACACGGACGCCGGCGGGGTGCAACTGAGGCCCCGGAGATGACGTCCATACAGTGAAGGTCAGCTGATTTTCAACAAGGGTGCTAAGTCCATTCAATGGGGAAGGAAGCGCCTCTTCAATAAACGGTGCTGGGGAAAGGAGAGTTCCAAGGGGAGACGAAGGAGTCAAGATCCAAGCCTCACACCATACACAGAAAGCAACACAAAACGGATCTCGGACCTACATGGGAGAATTGACGTGATGAGATTCTTAGTAGATACTCTAGAGGCAAGACTGCAGGACGTAGCTTATTATTTTTAAAAAATGAGATGCACTATCAGAAGTTGTCCTACACGCATAAACGGCCCAAGAGAGACAGCTAACTAGGACCCCACACATATCAATGCTTTTGATCATTAGCAGTGAAGAGACACCCCACACAGATTGGGAGGAACATTTAGGGAACCATCCATCCAATAAAGGTTTATAATAAAATCTCTACATGACAACAAAAAGAGGAACGTCTCATTTTAAAAATGGGCGGAGGACTCGGACCGACGTTTCCCCATGGAGAGTATTTAAACGGCCCACAAGCACATTAGAGGGTGCTCAACATCAGGAACCCACTGGGAAATGCAACAGAACAATACAGTGAGATCCCCTCCGGACCCCTATTCCTGGCAGGGTCTAGAACAGCAGCACTTGTAGCACTGAACACGGAAAGGATGGATGGTGTCGCACCCCTACGAATCTGTCCAGCATTGGGATCGAGGGTGGCCACCCAAGACTGTCTGAAGCTCTCCTCCATGAACAGTGACAGAGGGGTTCCAACCTTCAGTTCCTCCTCCGGCATTAAAACCCATGGCTGATTAAAGGGCTGGGGCTTTCTGAGAATTCAGCACTTACACACGCCCAAATACTTCATCGAAAGAGTTTAAAGACAACCCACCAAGTGGGGAAAAACTATTTAGTAAGGAAACACCAAAGGAAGGACTAATTTCCACAAACGACAGAAATCGACGACATGTTAACAAGAAAGATACAGATAAGCCCATCAAAAATGGGGTCCAGACATGAATAGACAATGCATCGAAGAGGCCGTTCGGGTGATCCATAACCCTACAGAGAAAATGTTCCAGTTCACCAGCCATAAACGAACTACACATCAACAGGGAGACACTGCCGCACACCAACACGGTGAGCAAAACTCACAAATACAGCAGGGAGTAAGTGCTGCAGAGGATATGCAGAGACTGCAGGGCTCAAACAGGGCTCGTGGGACTGCAGCACTGTCCAACCACCATGCAGACCAGCATGGGGCTTCCTCAAACACACGCAAATACAGTTATCCTAGGATCCTGCCATCCCTCTGCCA